TTGGAAATGACTAAGTAAAGCAATTTGACAGACAACTAGGAAACATAAAAATGAGAAAAAGATCTTAAAAATTTGTTTAAGTAGGCCATAACCATCGTTTGAATTTTGTCAATGAACCTTAATTAAAATTATATAAAAACTTTTATAAATAAATATTTATCTTACTTTTTCTATTTTTAGGCAAAACTAAGATATATACAATATCATCTGAAGCATAATTTAATGGTGATAATACTGTAATACCATTATCTGTTCGAGTAAATGTTGTTGATTGATAAAATGTTTTCCAATCATAAATTCCATCATATTTAAGATCATGATATATTATACGTAATAAATCATAACGATCAATGGGTATTTCATATTCAATTTCTTGAATTGAACCATCAGCTAATTCAAGTTTTAATGAACGTCGATTTGATTCAACAGATAAATCATTTTGTTCTTTCATTGATACATAACGTTTTTGAATGAAAAAAAATTAGTCGTATAAAAAAGTGAAATTCACTCTTGGCAAATCAGAATGTTTGACATATATCGCTTGGCAACGGACTTTATTTTATAGCTAATTAAATTTACTTTCATTTTCTTTGACGATATATTTCATAAGCAAATGTGAAATACGAAAATATTTTACATATAAATATTAGTCATAAATAAGAGAAATTCGAAAGAAATTTAATAAATGATGGGGCTAATACCGCCCTCTACATATCGAAGTACTTGTTGTTGAAATATTTTATTTCGTCATCAGTCACTCAGTAGACAACTGCGTATAAAGCATCACGTAGTCCCTTTGGTTAGAACACGTGACTTGGCACGATGATTTTTCTTTCTTTTCTGTACTTTACTCGTGCTGAAATACGTTTTACTATATATTTAGTCTCTCTTTCATTTTGTGTGTTATTTATATACGACAGAGAAATAGAGGACTTCACAACTTTGAAAGACTCTATGAAACTCAATAACAATGTCTTTACTATATTTCTATTATGTATGTAAATTTTTTCTTTTTTCTTTTTTAGATTTATTTTATAAACAAAAATAATTTGATCTAGACGAGAAAAGATGAATAAATTTTTCTCAATTATTTGTCTTATTGTTATTATTTCTACTGCATTAGCTAAAACTTCAGTAAAAGATAAAACGGTTGATGCTGCAATTGACTTAAAAGACAAGGTTGTTGAAACGGTATGTATTTTTTTATTATTATTTTTCTCTACATTCGATTAAATATTATATTTAAATAGGTAAAAGATGCATATGATGCAGCTTCACCTAAAGTAGTCGAAGGTGCTGAATTTATCAAAGAAAAAGTTGTTGATGGAGCTGAATTCGTAAAAGAAAAGGCTGGTGAAGCATATGATAATCTTGCTCCAAAAGTAGCTGAAGGTGCCAATTATATAAAAGATAAAGCTGTTGATGGAGCTGAATTTTTGAAAGATAAAGCAGGTGAAACTTATGAAACTCTTTCACCTAAAGTAGTTGAAGGTGCCGAATATATCAAAGATAAAGCTGAGGAAGCTTATGATACTCTTAAACCAAAAGTTGTCGAAGGTACTGAATATTTAAAAGATAAAGCTGGTGAAGCTTATGATGCTCTTAAACCAAAAGTTGTTGAAGGTACTGAATATTTAAAAGAAAAAGCTGAAGAAGCTTATAAAACTGGAAGTAAGAAAACATATTTTATTATTATTTTTTGAAAATATATTTATTTTTAAGGTAAACTCGCCGAAGAATATAGTGAAATTGGTAATTGAAATATATTTATTGTATTTCATTTTTTGATTTCTAATTTTTATAGCCAAAGAAAAATTAGCTAACATTGCTGACGATGCCAAAGCTTCAGGTAAGAAAAAAATTCATATTGAATTTAGTTTTTTTTTTTTTTGAATGATATACTATTTAGCTCAAAATTTCGCTGATGATACAGTTAAAGCTAGTAAAGAATATGCAAAAGAAGGTGTAAAACAAGGTCAAAAATTAGGTGAACAAGCTTTTGAACTTGGCAAAGATAAAGGTTTGATTAATACATATTTCAATAATTCATGATAACAATCTTATTTTTTTTTATTATTATTTGCAGCGAATGAAGCACTTAAAGCTGCTCAACAAGCTAGTAAGTTTTATTGTCTTATTTAGTTAAACTAAAGTATTTTTAATGTTATAGGTGCTGATGCATATGAAGCTTCACTTAAATTAGGTGCTGATGCTGCTAAAAAAGGTCGAAAATTAGGTAAATTAATCTTTTTTTTCTTTATGAATGTTCGTCATTTTTTGTTTCTATTAGCTGAACAAACACTTGAATTGAGTCGAGATAAAGGTAAAAATATTTCTTTTATTATCTTTCATTATAAATAAATTTATTGAAATTATTTTAGCTAATGAAGCATTAAAAGCAGGCAGACATGCTGGTAAATAGTTTTTAATTAAAATTTTTGAAATTTCCTTTATAAATTGTTCGATTTAAGGTGAAGATGCAATGGAATCAGCGCAAGAATATGCCAAAGATTCGAAAAAGAAAGCAAAGAGAAAAGCACAAGAAGCTACCGAAGAAGCAACTGAAGCAACACAAAAACTTAAACGAAAAGCTACAGAATTATAAACAGATGTAAAAATACGTTTTTTTTCCTATAACATATGTTAGTCACGAGTCCTATCGTTTCTTTATGGCAATACTTTGTTTTTTTTTTTTATAATATTTTATTGTTATTCAAGCTGTTAACCTGTGTTTCTTGTACATATATCGTATTTCTTTTTGTTCGTTTGCTAGTAAATAAAATAACATATACAAATCGAAATGTATTTCTTGGACATATTTCTTTTTTTTTTTTTTAATGATTGATTTTCATATTGACTAAATGCCATAAAAAGATGAGTACTTCTCATTAAAGAATGCTAATGTAGTTCAGTTTAACAAAATTGATTATCGATATTCACGTTTTAAGAACTTATATGCAACTTATTTGATCTGTTATGGTCTATTTGGAACAATTATTTCTCATTTTCGCTATGTTAGTGCGATATCTAATATAGTTTCATTCAGTTATCTTTTCATTATGAGTTTCACTTGATTTTGTTTTTCTATGAAATAGTCATTAAATCATTAAGAATTATTGAACTCTATTTGATTTTTATACAATCATATAACAGGAGATCTATGTCAATATCTACTAGAATAGACTTCCAAATGAGAGTCATTGAGCTGGACTAGCTGATTTTGGTAGCATAATGTGTTTTTCCTCATGGAGTTTTCAATCAAGAAAACAGCCGATGTTATTCATAGAGGATCACAGCGAATATATGACGTATTCTACATATTGTGCTTCATGAAATTCATATGTAATAATTGATCTCATCACGCTTTACTGTCCATTCACACAGCGTAGTAAAATGAACAACTGTTACTTGACTGCTATACTGTCAATTAGCCTATTGCACCGACGCAATCGATCGGTGGTTATTCATGAGTAGTTATACCATGGATAATCATTTAAGACATAATGATAAGAAAACAAAAAGATTGTTGAATGAATCGTAAAGTAGACAAAAAATATGGTAGTATTGTGAATGACTCAACAACAAGAATTCTTTTTTATGCAGGTGAATGAGATCATGTAACCTATAAATGATGAATGCATAAAAAAATCACAGATTATGAACAAGTCAGATTATTAATCTTACTCCATTTATTTGGCTCTTCTAGTGGACAGAAGAACAAGGTGACCTAGTTTTCATGCTCATGGTCTATCGAGGAACACTGTTGCCGGAAAATTCAATTGCAAAATAGCAGCAAACTAACCAAAATGATCTTCATTTCTTTCTAGTTTTTGCATGGACAGAATGACATTGATGAGTCATTGACATGTTTGAAGGAAATGTTATTTTCACGATTAACATTTTTCTTGAACATAACAACGACATACAGCATTAGTCAAAGTTCTCATATAAAGGATTCAAGCTTTGCTTATATTAGATTCGAATGTCTTAGACTAGCGTTAAAAAAGAGAATAATTCAGATGCAAGAAATAGGTCTTTGTCCATCGACTCTGTTATAGATGCGACTAGGGGATCATTCCAAAGGAACGCATTACTGAAAGATGAGAAAAAATGTGTTAATTCAGCAAATCATCAAAATCATTATAGCGAATTACGTCTTACGCTGATTTTGGTACTTCATTTCACCACAAAGATACTCAGGTTCAAGTCCTAGACAGGCTGAACGAATGCACGATTCAACTCGAGGATTTTTTTTTCTTCAACAATGATATCATTCATATCGATGATTCTGAATGCAACACTCAGTACTATCCCATGTCGTTTGAACTACTATTGTTTTGTATTTAAGTGCATCAATATTTTAAATTCTTATCAAATTGTTAGATTTCAGTCAAAGTTACATCCGATTATTATTAAGAGCGCGTTCAAGCCTTCTGTGTCAACTACATCGGCTGTTATCGTTTAGATGTTGAAATCGATCTCTGAAAAACTAAAAATATGAATTAGACAGACAAGTCATAAAAAGCTTGATGAAAAAAAGGAGTAAACTGTTAGAACCATCGAATTTTAATGGAAAATTGTCGACATAGAAGTCCGATGTTATCGCATTATATCGGCTTGTGAAAAAAAAAAAAGACAATTTTGAAAGCTCTAAAATACCACAAAAGAGCAAGATGATGTGGATTATAACGAAAAACGAGATACTCTATTGGATTGACTCATGCTGCATCTGTTTCTTAACGTTACTTTTTTCAAACGAGAACGGGTGAAAAAAAAAAGGTTAAAAAAAAAAAACAACTGTCACGTTGCTCGCACAAAAATAATGGTTCCTCTTGCTTTGGTCGACATTGTGTCAGTATGCCAACATTCGTTTTTTTTTTCGTAACAACTCCACATACTATTAGAATGATATTTCATTCGTAGGATTCTTCATCAACGCTCATATTCATTTCTCGTACTAAAGATTTTATACATCCTTGAAAATCTTTCAATCATACATTATGATGGCTGAACTTTCAACTTTTGATATGTTACCAGATGAAATGTTATTACATATATGTCAATATCTTCGTTGTGCCGATATTCTCTATTGTTTTTACAATCTAAATACTCGTCTTAATATAACCATAATTGATTTTTGTCATTATGTCAATATCACAGGTGTTCAATATAAACAATTTCAATATGTTGCATTGAAAATTTTACCTGAAATCGGTTCATCTATTCGATCAATTGTTTATCATGGAAATTGGCAAGCTGTTGTGTCGGATCAAATACGTTCAATATTGTTTTGTTCGAATTTGTCCATGATATTTCCACAATTACATACATTGATACTTGTATCTTTTACAGGTGAACAACTATTTACATTTCTTGATGCAATTAAAGATCTTGTGCAACTAGTCAAGCTTGATATTCATTATCTTGAAAATATAGTTCCAGAAGAATTATTGAAAAAAGTTCTAGCTGCTAATGATGGTCGACTGAAATCGATATCATTCGATTATGATTCAGTTGATCTGATTTTGAATGAAGCTCAACATGATCAACCTATTTCATATCCGAATATTGAAGAATTGACAGTCGGTTTGATGAAATGTGAAGCACTAGAATGTCTATTTACGCTTGTGCCAAATATCAATCGACTATACGTGAATTTCGATGATTCGTCAAATTTATCATTAGAAAAATTAAAAGATATGCCATTTTTAATATATTTGAAAGACTTTCAGTTGCGTTCAATGGATATGTATTGGACATTTGACAAAATCAGTAATATATTGACTAAAATGCCATCTCTAGAAAACTTAGCGCTTGATCTATCGACAGAAGATGCATGTCTTGTTAACGGACACAATCTTGCTGCAATTCTACCTACATCACTTGTGAATCTCAATTTGTTCATTATTTATTTCCTTTCCGAATCCTGTAGTCAATCAGATAATTTGCTTATTACATGGCCGAATCATATTCCAATAACATATTTGTTGAGTGCATGTCATCGATATGCTATTATTCATACGATTCCTTGTGATCTATCTTCCATTGTCATTGCAGCACAAATAAGTAAACAAATGTTAACTGGTTGGGAATATATGCAAAAAGTTAAGCATCTAAGAATTTATGGATCAGCATCTTTCACTGACATACCTATGATCGTACAACATTTTCGTCAACTTCGAACGCTCAAGATTGATGTAGATTGGGATTCAGAAGCACGTATGTAACTTCTTACAATAGGATGCATTTGAATAGCAATTCAAGTATAAAAATTTTTTTTATCTTTCCATGGAAAAAAAGATGGTCAACGATGTAGTAAAGTTGCTTTCTATAAATTTTGAAAACTTCAGAGTTAGAAATCGTCTAATTTCTTTTCCATTTCACGATAATAGCTGTATAAACAATTATTATCGATGTTGCATTGTTATTTTGATCAATCTTTTTTATATGGGAGAACTGATTGAGCTAGATTATTTTTATAAAATTCCTTTTAGTTCATATGACATTCAATCAAGAATACTTAAATATATATCTACATTTATATGTTTAGATTCGAAACATGTAAATATTTGTTGTTAGAAAATGGACTTTCTTTAAAGCTGAATGAATAACAGACTTTATATTTATTTTGCGGTGACAGAGAGAAGAAATAAGCAAATTAAGAGTATCCAATGTGACCATTCTGTATCGGATAGACCCAAAACATTTCATTCTAGAATGAGTAATTGATGATTTATTTCAATATTATATATCTAGAGTAACGAAATGTGGAATTTGAACTTGATCTAGTCGTTATATAAACTTTTGGAAATGACAAGATTATATTTTAATGATGAGTTTGAGTTCATATCTTTGTTCTTTTTTTTTTTGGTCGACAATCGCAATTCTATTCTATCATTATATAAAACAAATTACAGCTATATGACTAAAATGTCTCTTGACATAGTTGAACTCAAGTTTATGAACATTTTCGAAACAAAATATAACTATATACTCATGTTATTCCAGAAAAAACGACTACTGATAGCTATACAGCTAAAGTCGTTTTTGAAAGAAGAATTATATCTGAAATATTTATATTCTAATCTTTCATACAAGATTGTTTAGAAATACTGAAGAGTTTAGTAGCTGACTCAGAACTCCTTGCATAACTATACAAATTATTTTATTGTTTAGGTTTTTATTAGAAACCCGTCTATAAACTAATGTCAATTATACTCTTTCGAAACTTCAGAGAAGTTGTGAGTTTTTATACTCGTCTACATATTATTGTGCACATCTGAACTTGAAACTAAACTCTGTTTTTTTCCCTAGATCAAATGTTTATCTTCGATAATTATTTCAGGAAATATTTCAAGCGTAATTTTCACCTAAACTTATACAGTTACCTAATTTCAAATAAAATAAAATGGTCGAGTTCTATCTAGCCCTTATATTGATTATGTACATCGTTCACATATAAGTCATATAAAGATTTCATTGAATCATTTATTTTGTTTTGTTGAATTTCTTTTGATCGAAATCTTGACTTTTGTTAAAACAATGTTATGATATTCAATTCTTGTTTGTTTAACCGATTGATGTTCATTGCTTTCTTTAACTAGCTACTGCGATGCAATCAACGCAACCAATCGTATTACATTTATCTCGACTGAAACGACTTAAAATCGCTGGAAGATACCCGTTATTTCACTTGTTTAATACTGCTCATAATCTTGACGATTTGACTATTGATGTCGAATGTCTCGACAGCATAATGAAAGACGCATCTGCAACTCAATTATTAGAAAAGCATGTTATTGGTCTGCATATTTGTCGCATAGTAGATATTGATTCAATTCAATTCAATGTTGTCGCTCGAAAATTCAGTAATCTTCGTCATTTGGTTCTGTCAGTGAAAGATCAAGAAGTACTCATCAGTTCACTCCTATTACAAGCACTGGCAACATGGAAAGACAAAAGGCTTTTCTCATTATGCATAAACGGTTTTTTATCAGATGAAATTAAAAACAATGTGCCACAGTGGTTAATCGAACATAGTCACTTGCATTTCAATGACTCATTCGTTGTGAAATATAAAGACAACTGGATTGGTATCTGGTTTTAACAAATTATATTGATCATATCTACTACTAGTCGACCCTTTTATGATATTTTCAATGATGAAATATTCATATTGACTGAAAATGAACAGAATCGTTTCTCTGTAGAATATTTATAAATTCTTTTCTTTCGTTTACAAATAATTATCTCTATTTTTTAATTCTTAGATTTCATTCTTATATATATCTGTTAAGTTATTTATTCTTGAGAAAGATGACTATTAATCGTTGTATTACCCCAAAACTAAAATCATTTTATTAAGTAGTTAGACTTTCAACTTGTCTCACACGCATACATATGCATATCGAATTTGATATTGAAAACCTAAATAGCTCTAGTTAATCACTTATTAATTGGAAGAAAGTTTTTGAACTCTTTATTAGAATTCGAACAATATCAGTCATGCCTTTTGGAATTAATCACTATTTCAATGAATATTAAAATGAATTTTTAACTTATGAGGAAACACTTTTGATTTCATAGTGTCAATTTCAATTAATATTTTATCCATAGATACTACCGAACATTCTAATAACAATTCCTAAAAGGATTCGAGTTCCCACTGATATTTGACTTAAGCTGTCGAATTTTTTATACAGCTTTTTACCTAGAACTCTGTAGGGTTCCAACGTTTAGGAAAATTCGTATTTTCGAACTTTGATCGAAAAATTTGTGCATAGAAGTTTTTTCGAAAACGTGAGTTTTATAAGGTTCTAATGCCCAGTTCGAAAAAATCGGGAACACTTCGTATTATATAGTTCGAATTTTCGGCATTCGAAAGAGACTTTCCTACTGCGTTGATCTATGATACGCATCGATGACATGCACACATCTCTTCTACTTCGCTCTGGTGCGTTCAGGTGCCTTTCTTTGTCTTTCATCTCTATATATTCTACATCTTATACATATCTGTTCCCTCTTTCAGATGTGAATAGGGTGTGTGGTGATGGCAACAATATCAGAGAAAGAGCGTGCGTACTCTTTTAACTTGTCTAAGAGGGAAGATCATAACATGTCTCACTTACGGACACGATTCTCTCTTAAAGTTATAATCCAAACGTTGCACGATGATAGTACAACTAAATATGAAATTAGTATCTGTACAATGGCTAAGAGTTATGTTAGAAGATTAAACAACTCGTTTTATAGCAAAACAAACACTGCCAAACGATTCATAACGATAATTTGAAAAATGTTCTCCATTAAATGAGATAAAAATATTGACGTTTCGTAGATTTGCAGATCGTCAATTAATAGTTGTAAGGCACTCCACAAAATCTAAAGTTCCTCCTGTATTCATGGAGTTACAGTCTTCTCTTTAAAGATGACTATCCTTTAGTACTTATGTATGAACTGAACTTAAAGAAACCTATATGAATCGATACATTAAGAGAGCCTCTTTCGAATGCCGAAAATTCGAACTCGACAATACGAAATGTTTCCAAGTTGTTTAAAAAATAGCCATTGATTTTTTTTTTGAAATGCGCATTAATACGATCTATATAAGAGAAATGGTCATCTATTCACTAGATTAAATTCTTTTCTTAAGATGAAATACTAAACAAATTACTTATTCTCTTGTACTCGGATTGGGAGTAAGGATTCATTTATTACTTTTGTACATTTTTTCATGAAATCTCATGTGTTGACATATTGAGTATGTGAAAACTCATGTACACTTTCGCATTATAATCAAGAACAATGCATAGATGCAAGAATACCAGACAAAAAAACCACGATATCGATTTATTGTTGAGCGCTTTTATAGAATAATAAGTTTTACATAGTTATTTCATGTTAAAATGAGTTTTCTTTTTTTTGTTCATGTACAATTTCAATGAATTGTTTTTTTTAATACAAAACATGAATAATTGCGCAAAAAAAATAAAATTAGTTGTTTGATGTTGAATATGAGATCAAAAAATTCGGTTCCGATTTTTAGAAACCAAAAGAAGAGCCGTTTTTCTCAGTTTTTACTAACCGAAACCTTAGTTCTAGTTCCGTGTATTTGTTGTAAGTGCTGGGCTCCGCTTTCCACAGCAGAGGACGATTTATTCAGAGTTATTCTATCAGCAAAAAGGAAGAACAAAATCAAATTACAGGTTACTATTACAATAAATCGAGCTGCATCCTTTCTTGGTCTGTTGATACGTCATCATTTTCTGTTGTATCGCGTCTTTATTATTGCAGTCCTTGACTGCCTGTATAAATTTTATTTTTCAATTTTTTCGCTCGAAAAGACAATTATGAGGTCTATATCAAAATGGTTGTATTTTTTTTTAGCAGCAGAATAGTTTTACATAAAAGCCGCTTGTTTCATAGTACGAATTGGACGAGACGACTTTCAAAAGCTTTCCATCCCGTTCTATGAGATATAGGACATTGTCTAAGAATTGTGTTCTATGGGGCACATGTGATGGAATGAGTATGATTAATATGATAGATCATATGCATTGCTTAAATCATTCGTACCTTTCTTTCACATGCCATGCTCTATAAGTAGATATACTGCGTTAATTAATGTGAGAAAACAATTGGCAGAAAATATGTGTCGAAAATAAACCTTCGTCGAGAGTAGAGGCTGCTTTGATGGACGACTGAATTTCAAGGAATCATATGAATATCTGTGAAAATGGCAATCCTATGGAGTTGATGCAATTTTTTCTAGAGAAAGTTTTTGCTTATCTTTCGCAATATTTTTATTTTATGGTATGGAAAGATAATGTCAATACGCAGAGAAGAAAAATCTATATTATGAAAAAGCTCCCTATTGAATTATATATTTAATCGAATGTAATTATCCAAAAATATCATTTTTTGAAAAGAATGATATGTTGAAAATTGTTTTTATTAAATAAACAAAAATGAAGATCTGTTTTGAAACTATAATCGAAATATAATCAAAGTAAAATTATTTGATTATTGACAGGATGAAGTCGGCGTCAACATGTCCGTTTTATTATATAAACTAAGGTAAATACTTCCTTTGTTAGCACGTGTGCCCGTCAATTTTTGTCAATCATCTGTCGGCGGCATATGAACATTTTTGTTTGATTATAATCACGTTCATGTCAATAAAAGAAAAGAAATGACTTTTTATTGTTTGTTCAAAGATAATTGTCCT